CCGTCCCGCGGCCGGCGCTGTGCGGGAGGCTCGCTCTCGCCTCCGGCCGCGCGGTGTGCTAGTCCTTCTTTCTCTCCTTCCCTCGCAGGTCTCGGTAATTAACACCGTGGACACCTCTCACGAGGACATGATAGTAAGTGTGCTGGGGGTGCTGTTCTTCGAGCCTTACAGAAACGCACGGCTCCCTAACTGCGCTTTCCGGTTTTAGCACAACCGCTCTGCGGCACTGCCTCCGGAGGGGTGGGGAGTACGGTCTGCGTACCTGTACGAAACGGTGCGCGTGCGGTAGTAGATGGAGAGCACTGTCAGAAATGCTGACAGCGCTATTTCATACTGCCTGGACAGGGCATCGTAGCTACCAGTGGAAGGGGAAATGATTTAAAACTTTGATTTTCATTCCTAGGCTGCTTTCTGCTCGGTTCTGTGTAACAGAACGTACGCGTACACCAAATGGCACAGAAACGCAGCAGATTAAACTGGTTTCCTTTATGTGGATGTTTCCGGGAGCAGATGTGTGAGTAGGGGTGGGAGGAAACACTTCAAGGTAATTTGTAGAAGTGAGGAGCCCAGTTAGATAATGAAGTTTCAAACGTAAAAAGAGGGATCAGTATTCTCGCACCCACTTTACATATTAAGAAACAAAAACACATTAAATGGGCAAGGCTTCACAGTGAGTGGCACTAACTTCCTGCCCTCTCCTGAAAATGCTGGGCATTACTGTTCTGAGTTCCCCGGATCACGTCTGTGTAACTAGTGGAAACAGCAGCTGGGGAAACGTCGACTTACAGGGCTTGTCTGGATTGCTTAAAAACTCTCCTTTTAACCTGTCTTGCTGGGACTCGGTCATCTGTTCACAACTCTTACAGCTGCTTTTAAAATGTACTAAGGTTTGTTGACAAAGCAGAACTCACCCGTGCTGACAGCCGCTTTTCCATCGCCTTGCAGCACGATGCGCAGATGGATTACTATGGCACTCGCTTAGCGACCTGTTCTTCAGACAGATCCGTGAAGATCTTTGATGTTCGGAACGGAGGGCAGATCCTCATTGCCGACCTGAGAGGGTAAAGTGTTGTAAACACAAGATCTTAGTCTGTGGAAATCTTTAATATTTTGTCAGTTTGCCTCTCGGTAACACGAGGCGCGTGGTAAAGTCCTCCATGGTAATAATTACTGGGGCTGGTTGTTGCGCAACAGCTCGTCAGAGCTGTGATGGGGGGACAGAGTCATTCATTAGATACTTGACACCTTTAATTTTCGAGAAGTAAACTCACAATCTTAATTGCTAATATCAAGATAAATGTTGGCAACGGCTTTGTCTGACAGGCCTGTTCTGTTTTTCATGTTGGCATTACTCATATGCTCTGTGTCACTGCGTTAACCGATTTACAGTAACGGTGGCTGCGAAACAGACGCAACTGGAATGGGTTTCTCTCGCGTTGTTTCTTGCAGGCATGAAGGTCCCGTGTGGCAGGTTGCCTGGGCCCATCCTATGTACGGAAATATTTTGGCTTCCTGTTCCTACGACAGGAAGGTTATTATCTGGAAGGAAGAAAATGGCACTTGGGAAAAGACGTATGAGTACACAGGGCACGATTCCTCAGGTATGTGGGGTCTGGAGCTGGGAGGTGAGAGTGGGCATGTGAGAGGGTTCAGAAGGGTTGGAATAAATCCAGCAGTGTTAAAGAGAGCCTCTATCAAGCAGATAGGGATGAATTAAGAGAGAGACAGGAATTCTGTTAAGCATAAACAGAATATTAATGTCACATTGCTGGATAACCTCCTGTCCTGATCCACGCGGTGTTTGCCTAGGAGCTGTTTTACAGATAAACAAGACAGCTGGGTACTGAATTCTTCAGGAAAATACTGTGCGTATCCACTACAGGAAGAAAGGAAAAAGGTGGATTCGAGCATGCTGCATTTTGGTTTACAATGGAAACTTTTTTTCAGATGATGGTCCTCCTACATACAGATCTGAGACACCTCCAGCTTGGTTTTGTTGCTAATCTAGACTTTAAATACTAATTGCTACTCTAGCTTTTATATGCCTGCCACTCAGCTTTTGTTCTAGAGTTGGTGATACTCTTCGCTGTTGCAGGGGATAGTCAGAGTTTTTAGTCTCTCAGTAAGAGTGTTCTTGTGGTGTTCTCACTCTAAAAGGGTGCCAAAAATAATGGCAGTTTTCTGTCACTCAGTAAACAATTAACTGGCACTGCTGAAATTTGGGGATGCTAAGGCTCTTATTCTTGGTTTTCAAAGCTGCTCACTTTTAGCAGCTCTTCCGCTGACATTAGTCAGTGCATTGGTTGGTCAGTTTTAGGTAGTCACCGTGTTTGTAATCCACTCTGTCTTGCCCTTCACAGTGAATTCTGTCTGCTGGGCACCACATGACTACGGGTTGATCCTGGCCTGCGGGAGCTCTGATGGGGCAATTTCGTTATTGAGCTATACGGGTGACGGGCAATGGGAAGTCAAAAAGATCAGCAATGCGCATACGGTAAGCCTGTGCCTTTGGAGCAGTGCAGAGTTCTTGGAGCTACAGATAAGCACTGAGGGGATCCCTCAAAGAACTAGATAAATACTGAAATACAATTAAATTACGTGAAACATTTTCCAGAATCAATAATAACTTTTTTAATCCAGAATGGGAAGGTACACTTTGTAGTCACTAAAATGAAGTAGAAAACAAGACACATGGAGGTTGTTAAGGAGCACTGATAATATTTGTTTATTAAGCATTATTGTTAATCACAGTGCTGGAAGTTACCTGGTAGGAAATGGCTTTGGTACTTAGAACACCTGTACAAACTGACTGGGAATAATGTGAAGCTGGAGAAACTGCAGGACACATGTGTTTACCCAAATAGTGGAGACTTTTGCTTAAGCAGAACTTCATAATGGCAATGGCTCTCAATAAAAGGAAATTGGGCTCTGGACCCACAGGTTCCTTCTACTCCTGCATTCCTAAATCCTAGCAACTGTGTATGTCTTGTGCCTTCTCAGTTTATATTTCTGTCTCCACTGTTTACATATCCAAGGGATATTTGCACATAAAACAGTTACTTGGCTACCTAAGGCTTTCTGAGTAAGAGCCCTGTTAAAACTAGACTGTATCTGGGTTTCTTACTCATCCGCTATCCATCCAGCATTGTGCAAGACTCCTAGTTTCTTACGATAGACTTATTCCCCACCTCCCAGTAGAGAGTCTCCTAGGTGTCCTTTGCCCACTCAGCAGCATTTTATTTATTTCAAGTAAGCAACTTTTGATAATGATTTTTTTTCATATTAAACAGATTGGATGTAACGCAGTTAGCTGGGCTCCTGCTGTTGTACCAGGAAGCCTCATAGAACAACCGTCTGGTCAAAAACCAAATTACATCAAAAGATTTGCATCTGGTGGCTGCGACAACCTTGTCAAGATCTGGAAGTAAGTTGCCAAGGTTAAGAACTTACAGAACCCGGTATCTTTTATAGTCTTTGAATTTCCCTGTTAGTATCCCAAGCAGTATTTTCAGCATCCCTATGCTGTCATCTTTTGAATTATTGTGCATCACTAAGTTGTTTCCATTTTTAAAGCACTTCTCTAAAACAATCTCTTACACGGTTATAGCAGTTTGTGTCAGCCCTGCTTCATCTTATCTTAGAAGGTGGCTTTCTGATTACCACTGTCACTTGGACAATAGCAGGTTTTTCTACAGTAACTGAAGATCAAATACTCTTTTTTTTTCCTGTGCTGCTTTCTGTCCCCTGGAAGGGATTTTGTCAGTTTAAGCCATAGAGCTTTCTGGAGGAAAGTGAGGAACACTATGCTTTGTATTAACTGGGTAAGCCAGGAGTCTGAAAGCTGCAAAAGCCATCTAGGACTGGAGATGAGAAATATGACTGGCTGCTGCTGCCACCCTTCTAACTGTATAAATGTGTTTTCAGGGAGGAAGATGGTCAGTGGAAAGAAGAGCAGAAGCTGGAGGCTCATAGTGACTGGGTGCGAGATGTAGCCTGGGCTCCATCCATAGGTTTGCCAACAAGTACCATTGCTAGCTGCTCGCAGGTGAGGCTCCCGTTGGAGTGACACAGGCAGGCTCTCAGTGCCTTTGCTTCCGTTTACTAGAGAAAAGGGGAAGGAAATAAAGGAACAGTAAGGACAGAACTGCTGTAACAGGTCCTCTTGGCTTTGCTGTGTCTGGGTCTATGCATAAGAACCTCTGATTCCTGTTCCTCGCAGACTCAAAAAGCCCAGTGGAAGCATTTCTGGACAAAGGTTTGTGTGGCTCTGTACCAAAGACTATCTTTTCTTTTGAAAATCGTAAGCAGGATGGCCTCACTATGAGGCAGACCTTTAAACTTGCGTTGTATTTTAATGTCTCCAGATCGAATTCACTGAACTTCCAGCTAAAACTACGGTTTTATAAAAACTAACATTCTTAATCAACTCTGATGGCCTTAACCTTCATATTGACAGTAGTATTCTTGCTGCTAATAATTCTGTAAATGCTTTTTTGTTTTTACTATCAACTACTCAGTAAGCGGTCACGTGGCTGGAAAGCAAAATCTTATTCTGGGGAGAAAACCTTCAGCTGATACCTGTGTTTTCGAAGCTCTTCTTTGGTTTTTGCAGGTCATCTTCTGCATGCAGCTTTTCTCATCAGCGAGCTGTACACCTATCTTTTAGCTGTAGAAAAGAAAACAGCCCCTGTCCTGTGTTGAATCCTACATGCACCTACATGGATTTTTGCTCATGTCGGAGCCGTGATTTGAAAGTGTAGCTCTATTAGCTGTAGAAAAGAAAACAGCCCCTGTCCTGTGTTGAGCAAAAATCCATGTAGGTGCATGTAGGATTCATGTCGGAGCCGTGATTTGGAAGTGTAGCTCTAAGTGAAACCCAGGGGTGTTTTCCTGTGTTGTAACTGGTGGTCCAAGCACCTCTGTCTGCTTGTTTGCGTAGGATGGCAGAGTGTTTATCTGGACATGTGATGATGCCTCTGGAAATTCATGGTCGCCAAAGCTGCTGCACAAGTTCAATGATGTCGTCTGGCATGTGAGCTGGTCCATTACTGCTAATATTCTTGCAGTGTCTGGAGGAGACAATAAAGTGAGTACTGCTGCCTTGGCTTTTACTGCTGCATGACCTGTTTTCAGAAGAGCTGAGATGAGCCAGACCATTGTCACTTTTGTTTAAGACTATTTTAGATTCTCCTTTGCTGCAACAGTGTACTTTATTTTGACTTACTGGGGGGAGGGTGTGGTGTGACCCTAATGTTTAGCAAACCACTTGCATCTGTGTTCTTAGTCCTTCCTAAGATCAGAAATGCAAGGTTAACTTTATTTTGTAGGGTACTAACAGCAGAATTCACATACTCTCCCTTTACCACTGGATAATTACTCAGTATACAGCAACAGATAACTTGATTATTGACACTGCAGTGCCTGACTTCTCTAACTGTAGACTACCATCAAACTAATCATGTGATGATTGCAAGGAATTGGGAAACTGAGAACGTATCAAGGCTGAAACTTCTTCCTGGTCTGTTTTTGAGGTCACACTATGGAAGGAATCAGTAGATGGACTGTGGGCCTGTATCAGCGATGTCAACAAGGGCCAAGGAGGGGTGTCTGCCGTTACAGAGGGGCAGCAGAACGAGCAGTGATGCATGAGTGAACGTTCCAGCTGCAAAAAGTGATCACTATACCTGATTTGCAATGTTTCTTGAACCGGATGAGAACTGATTTTATCTGAACTGGATGTGAACATGGGAAAAAATTATCCAATTTTGAGTACTCTCTAACTATTGCTGGAAGGCTACAATATGTTGGTAATTAGCCTTAAGTAACATTCCCTTAAATTTAAGTTAAAGAGCATAGCAAAGTACTGTGCCTTATACTACTCCTTGCTGCCATAGAAATTGTACCTTGCTTTTCTGGTTTAGGGATCAAATGGAATTGGATATGCTTTGGTCAGACTTTAAGCACTTGAGTAGGAACAGAAGGAGGCTGTCAAAGTGCTGAGGTGTGAACTCCATTGTGCATGGGGACCAAGAATCTGTCCCTTCAACAGCCACAACCTGTTTCAGGCAAGGGGGAGGGCTGGTGGAGTTTTTGGCATTAGATGACCGCAGGATAGCTAGCCCTTCTGGTAAGTGGTGCTTAGATCTTCCTGAAAATAACATAGTCTGCGCTTTCCTGAAGACTGAAAGGAGTAGTGGAATGCATATGTCTTTTGCTTTACAATAATCTCAAACATGGTTATTTAACCAGCATCAATAAATCAAACTGTAATTTGAAGACTGGGTTTTTTTAGCCACACTTCTGTACTGTACCTCAGTTTTTTTGTTGTTGAGATACCAACAGAATAAAGCCCCTTTGGTTAAAGCCTGGTGTGCTGTATTTAATAATCTTTCCGCAGGGGCCTTGTCAAGGCTGCCTATTATCTCCCTTCAGTCAAGCCCCAGTCATTTTCCTCTCATCCATGGTATTAAGCATTGTAATCACTGGGAATGTATTAGTCCACCTGAGACTAATAGTATATAGCATAAGAAAGAACCAAGTCTTCCCTTCAGTTACACTTACCAACCACTGCATTTCAGGCAGGTATATTAGGCTTAAACAAGCCACATTTTGGTATGCCTTTAGCTACAAGCTGAAGCACTTCTCCCTTCCTACAAGAGGGAAAGTACTTAACTAAAAGGTCACTTCTCCCCTTTGTTCTTCAGCTGCACTGAAGCAACATAAATGAACAATTTACAGCCTCCCTCCTTCTTGAGGGTAGTGGTTCCTAGGCACACTTTGTTTTGACATAGTCAAGATAATATACTTGCTTTTCTAGAAAAATAAACCTAGTTTTATGATAGTTATCTATATTAGCCAATAGTTGCTGTCGCAGGAACATATACATGAACTACCTTCCTGTGTACCAACAGGAGTGTGCAACATTCCTGTTCTTGTTCAAATGTACCATAGCCTTACCTAACACACACCTTACCCACCCCCGCCAAAAAAAAAAAAAAAAAAAATCGTCTAGAAAGAAGAATTAAATTAAAATGGTTCAATTTCAAATTATACAGCAAAGCAAAGGTTTTCACTCAAGCCATTTTCCATTTCTACTAAGATCAGAACTGCTATGGTGAACAGGCAGCCTTTCATTCCCAGTACGACACCCACTTGCTCTTCTTTGGGACTACCCAGCCATCTAAGGGTTTTGGGTTGGCTTTAGCTGCTGTGGAAGCTATACAAACTTGAAAGCAAGCACTTCAGCTCCAATAAAAGGGCTCAAAAATGAAACCTCATTCTTGGTTAGCTTTTACCACACTTCATTCTAAGGAAAAATGGCACTAACTCCATAAGAACACAAGAAAAGGTTTTGCCTGTGGGGCTATTAGGTTCCATAATTCACCATGTTAAAAGTTGTCCTTAAATTTTATGAGTTTTAATACTTAAGAATTCAAACCTATGTAGCAGCAAGACCCAGTACAGCCTGTTATCCCTTCGCATCTTAGATAAAATCTTTAGAATGGTTCTGAGTAATGAACAGATCCCCCAAAATTACAACTGATCTAAGATTATTTAAGAGTTTGTTATACACTTTATTCATTGCAAATGTAAGCATTAAGTGAAAGTTTTTCAGTTGTTCTTGAGAATGAGCTTCATGTTTTTGGATCTCTAATCCCTTCCTCCTCATACTTGGGGTCAGGATTGGGGAAAATAAAGAGAGAAAAAGAATATACTTAAGTTTCACACTGAAAAACTTAAAAATGCTACTCGGTGTGATTAAGGCCAACAGAGTCTATCCCGTGCCCACAGTGCACCATCATTCTTCCCTTTCACCATCTAGCCTGGGAAGGATGTAAGTGTGTCCCCTGAAGCTCTGCCTGCTTTCTTTATGTTAGCAAATGCTTTTATTAACAAGCCCTCAGATAAAAGCCAAGATAAAGACTAACTCCATCAAAGTTTCTTAACCTAGCTTTGTTGCTAGGGGTGTTTTTGACCTGTCACCTCCATTTGTTTTCAGTCAGTCACAAGCTTCCTCAGTTTTACCAATTCAGCTGATACCAGACACATTTAAGAAGTTATTTTTTTTAATATTTGGATCATTTCACAGATCTGATTTACAGCATGACTGCACAACATTTGAAATAATCAACCAGAAAGTCACAACTTGAGACACAGAAAAAAGAAAGCTCTTAAATCAGGTTCGCAGAAGAAAACATAATGGAACCACATCCCCAAATAAAAGTAGCTGTCCAACTCCATAGACATACTAAAGACACAGAGGCTCGCTTGGCCAGAGCATAGTTAAGATGGTTACAAATGGCTCCATGTTTCTGCAACAGCAAATCTGATTCAACAAAATTCCTCCTCATCTTCCCATCTTTGCACATTTCCCATGTCTTCCCCTGTCCTACTGCTGGAAGTCTGTGGGGCTGCAGTGCAAAGCGGATCCTACAAATTAGCCACGTCACTCAAGTTAAAGTAGAATACAAGCAACAGGAGTTGCAAATTTGACATCCTGCATCATGTATTCCTTCTTTTCTCCAATCTTGCTCAAGTAAAAAAAAATTCTCAAGTTCTCTTCCTGGGATTTTTCTAGACCCTCAGCCATTGCTACTAGTGTTCAATGACGTTTTAAAAATTTGTTAATATTCTGGTTTTAGAGGAATGGAAGCAAAGTTTCCTGGGTATCGTTTCAGTCTTCTGGTGAAAGACAACAAAAACCTGACAGAAACAACCTGGGAGAACAGAAGAGAAGGAATGAACTTAAGAAAAGAGCAACGCGTCCGTCACCACAGGTCAGGAACACAGCTCAACCTCCCCATTTTGTTACACCACCTGAGATAATGAAGAGGGTTTGGGGCTTTTCCTTTTTGGAAGGAACCTGTTACAGCTATTAATTAATTGTTAAAAGGAACAATGTAAATGCCACAGAAAGAAGGAAACTC